AGAGAAACTTGCTCAAGTAATATAAAAAGTAGATAGATATATTATATTTGCCTAATATGTCTCTCACATTTATCCTCGCACATATTCTTACTCTAGGATGCATGACCCTTCTAATGCTAGGGTCCTTATAGGGGGCCACACGTCAATGCTGCTTGGGAGACTGTGGGTTTATTTCCTAGGCAACTGTAGCTAGTGACCCTTATGCCTTGTCCAAAGGAGCTCTCCTAACTAGAGATACTGGAGTTGGTCGACGATAAGGCTGAAGATACCCAGAGTGGCTTTCCCAACTGGAGGTACAGGCACTGGATAGACTTGAGTCCAGAGGAGCTTTCCCAACTAGTGGTACCGGCGCTGGACAACGATAGGGCTGAAGATACCCAGAGTGGCTATCCCAACTGGAAGTACAGGCACTGGGGAGACTTGAGTCCAGAAGTGGTGGTACTAACACTGGTTCAAGTCTGCCTTTGATGCGGCTTGCATCGCAATTTATATCCCTTCCTTGCTTGTCTCATCATAATTAACCAGGGTAATTATGTCCTGTGTTTTGTCGATTTGCAATAAAATCATTATTGAATTCATGTACAGGGTGGTTGATATTCGATAGTTTGATAGGGTACAGCCAAAATGGCCGAAGATACTGAGAAACTGATATACGCTTCCCGTCCTCTTTTTTAGTGTGTCATTTGATGGTGTTATCAGATCTTGGCCAACAAGTTTGGTTTGCGAGGTACAGGGTGTTTTTCAAAATCAGCTGTTTTTTATAATCCTCTATAACTTCTTACCCTACGGAGATATAGAAAAAGTGCAAAAAGGAAAAATACGTCTTTTTTTACGTAGAATCCAGTGGCGTACTTAGAAAAAATATGGGAGCTTTATCTTCTGAGATATTCGGAAAAACAAAGATTTTTCGAATGGAACACCCTCTATCTTATTGGTTCAGGATTTTGAGAAAAAAATTGTGAGTTCAACGATACATAACACATGATATTTTGTTTTAGTCTAAATGGCGAAAGCAACAAAAAACACTTTTTTCTACTACCGTGCGTAAAGTACTCACATTACGAACTATTCAGAATACGTAAAATTTCACTTCACGCACAAGTGTGTAAAGTAATTCACTTCACACACTAGTGCGTGAAGTAATGTCAATGACAGATGTCGACACTGTCAATTTAGTATTTTTCTGGTAAATTACTTCACGCTCCAGTGCGTAAAGTGAAAATATTTTCCGCACTAGTGCGTAAAGTATGTATTTGACTAAATTTATTTTTTTACACATATTTGATTGGTAGTAGAAAAAATTTTGTATGCAATACTGCATATAGCACCTTTTTTCACGAATGTGAATTATGACGCACGAGCCGAAGGCGAGTTCGACAATCACATTTTACACACTTGTTGCATAAATAACTATTTCAGAGAAAAATTAGAAACAAAAAAAATCTAGAATTTTCGAATTTTCAAATTTTCAAATTTTCAAAGCAAAAAAAAATCTGGGATTGAATTTTTGGAAACTTTAAAAAAAAATAAAAAATCTGGATGCATTTTGGATTTTTTTTTTCAAAACATGAAAAATTCTGGAATTTTCTTTCAAAAAATAAAAAAAATTCTTTTTCAAAAAATAAAAAAAAATTGCAATGTTTCTTTCAGGGGAAAGAGCTGAAATTTAATTTCTGGAAAAATTTTGATAAAAAAATTTCGAATGCTTTTTTGAAGGAAAAATGACAAATTAATTTCTAAAACTTTCAAAAAAATTCTGGAATTTCCTTTGAAAAAAAAATTTTGGAAAAACAAAATTCTGGAATTTTCTTCCAGGGAAAAAAAAAAATTGGAATTTTATTTCGGAGAAAATTTAAAAAAAAAATTTAAGGGAAAATTTCGAGAAAAGAAAAATTTCAGATTTTTTTTTGAAATTAGTCCGGAAGGAAAATTTCGGAATTTTTCTTTTTCGAAATATATCCTTCAAAAAAGCATCCAAAATTTTTGTTCAAAAATACATATTCCTGAAATAAAATTCCAGATTTTTATTTTCTTTTTTTCAATTTTTCCTGAGAGAATATTCTAATTTTTTTTCAATTTTTGAAAGAAAATTCCTGATTTTTTTATTTTTTTTAAGAAAATTCCAGAGTTTTATATTAAAGGAAAAATGACAAATTTCCAAAAAAGAAAAATTCTGGAATTTTCTCTCAAAAAATAAAAAATTCTGGAATATTTTTTCAAAAAATAAAAAAAAAATGTTATTTTTCTTTCCGGAAAAATTTCAAAAAAAAACCTTTAAGGGAGAAATAAAAATAAAAAAAAATCTGGAATTTTCTTTCAAAAAATAAAAAATTCAAGAATTTTCTTTCAAAAAATGAAAAATTTAGGAATTTTCTTTCAAAAATTGAAAAAAAAAAATTGGAATTTTCTCTCTGAACAAATTGAAGAAAAGAAAATCTGGAATTTTATTTCAGGAATATTTTTGAACAAAAATTTTGGATGCTACTAACAAAAAGGATGCTTTATTGAAGGATAAATTTCGAAAAAGAAAAATTCCGGAATTTTCCTACCGGACTAATTTCAACAAAAAAAAATCTGAATTTTTTTTTTTTTCGAAATTTTTCCTTCAATTTTTTTTTTTTTGTTTCCTAAAAGAAAATTCCAGAATTTTGTTTTTTCAAATTCCAGAAAAGTAGTAGTAGTAGAATGGTTATTTATTGTATAAGTGCTAAAAGTGAAATTTCATTTCGTGAAAAGGTAAGTTTGGGCCGAAGGCGGAGTGTTCCATCCCTTTGAACAAAATAAAATCACTTTTAGCACGAATATCATACACTATTTTTTCTACCAACGCACTAAAAGTAATCACTTTCAACACCAGTGTCATAAAATGGCATCTAAGACACTGACAGCATCCGTTAAAAATGACACTTGTAGTAACGTTTGTAGAAAAAAGTGTTTTTTGTTGTTTTCGCCATTTAGGCCAAAACAAAATATCATGTGTTATATATCGTCGAACTCGCAATTTTTTTCTCAAACTACTGAACCAATAAGATACAGGGTGTTCCATTTGAAAAATCTTTGTTTTTTCAAATATCTCAGAACATAAAGCCCCCATATTTTTTTCTAAGTACGCCACTGGATTCTACGTAAAAAAAGATGTATTTTTCTTTTTTGCACTTTTTCTATATCTCCGTCGGGTAAGAAGTTATAGAGGATAATAAAAAACAGCTGATTTTGAAAAACACCCTGTACCTCGCAAACCAATATTGTCGGCCAAGATCTGACTACACCATCAAATGACACACTAAAAAAGAGGACGGGAAGCATATATCAGTTTCTCAGTATCTTCGGCCATTTTGGCTGTACCCTATCAAACTATCGAAAATCAACCACCCTGTACAATGTGTTATTTTCCCAAGCAGGCTCGCGTGTTGACAATATACATGGTGGGGCACGAAAAACTTCCCACTCAGGTGATTTCCCACTTAGGTGATTATGTGTATTATTATGTATCACCTGACACCTGAGAGCACCTGGGTGGGAAGTTTTTCGTGCCCTACAATGTATAATAATCGCCCGGGATAAAATCGTTAGAAGTTGATGAGCTAACAATAGGTATAATACGAAGGAAAGTACAGTCGTTTTATGAAAATAAGGAGATCCTAACAATAGATAAAATAGTAGCAGTGATAAGAGCGGACGAGAACATACCAGAAATGGGACGAAAAAAATTGTGGGAAATATAACATGAGTTAAACTTTTGTTGGGAGATGCAGAGCAGAAAATCAATTTTGATTGACAAAGAAGAAATAACATGTTGGAGGAGACAATATATAAGAGATATTAGAAAGTACAGAAGGGGAAAAAAAATATTGGATGAAACATGGGTAAACTAAGGACACACCACACACAGTACGTAAATAACTTCTGGCAAGATAAAAATGTCCACAACTCTTGCCAGGCATTTATGCATGGCTTTTCGACTGGCTTACATTAACTCACATTTGTAGTGGTAGAAGCTTTTGAAATCAACCAACGATTACCAAGAAAAAATGACGGCCAATGTTTTTAAAGACTACTTTTCTGAAATGATAACCTCAACAAAACATGTTGTTGATGAAATGGTTATGGAACGATTGAACCGGGATATAAATATACTCCGCTTGCCACCCTACCATTGCGAATTAAATCCGATTGAACTAATATGGACTCACGTGAATGGATTTATAGCAAGAAATAACACCTCCATCAAATTACAAGATGTACGAGAACTAAGAATGTTGTTAAATCACGTAACTGCAGAAAACTGGAGCAATCCTGTCAACCATGGAATAAAGGAAGAACAACATGTGGAAACTTGACAACCTTGTGGAAAATACTTTAGAACCATTAGATAACTGTGACAACATCTTATTCAGATGAGAGTGATTCAGGGGAAAGTCGGTCAGAGAATTGAACATTTTTCTGAGTCACTTTTCCTTGAGGTTCTGTGCTCTCAACCAAATTAAACTGAGTATAAAACAAGGAAAGTATAATCAATATAAAACGAACAATATCTATAAACGTTCCCATACTTCGGCGCTGATTGATAAAGATATTTGTTAAAAATGAAGCGGAGTAATGTATATACAAGTGGCGCGGTAGAGCTGCACAGTTCTTAGATCAGTTTAAATCAACAGATGGCGATATTCACATTGAATTCACGAAAATTATAAATAGTGAAATTTACTGTAGCAGTAAACAATTATTTTATTTGCTTTTAGTGATTATTATGTTAAAAATAGCACTCCAGTTGTAAAGCCTACTCTAAAAGAAAAGCACTAATGATTCATTAATAGAATCATAAAGTCCATTTATTTTTATTAGGAGGTAAAACTCCGTGGAGTTTTACTAATGCAAATGCGAAATATCTAGTGGGTAATCGTAAAATGAATTTTCAACGTTAAACGTGGGGGTTACGGGGGAGGCGTTTTTGTTTAAAGAGGGGATAGAGAGAGAAAAAGGGGACAAAACTCGCGCGCAAATTTCAACTTCCATTCAAGATTGGGTCAGCTAAAGTTCCGCTGCTCTCCGCTCCGACTATTTTGAACCAGCTAGGTAAGACATAACTATGATCTTTTATTGATAAAGTAGATTTTGTTTTCTGTTCTCTTGCAAAAATTTTAATTTTTAATGTTGAAATATACCTATTTATTTACTACACATTTCTATGTAGCTTTTTGTCATAATTAAAATAGTTATTATTACAAATTTTTATAGTAATTATAATCTATACTGTGATATTTTTTTAATTTTTATTCAACTCTTTTTGTTACCTAATCTGAACGGATTAGTTGATGGATTGAATAAACGTTTGAATTGAAAATAATTTTGCTTTTTTTTTGTAAAAATCTTATGCAAATTTAATATATTTAAATAATTAGTTTTTTTTTTCAGAATGCTGGCATTCTATTTTTTATTTTGGGTAATTTCAATTATAAATGGAGTAGTCTTGACACCTGAAAGAAACGGCGACTGGCACAAGCCCGGTTGCCACAAAGTGGGTGAGTAGAATATTTCTTGAAGCATTTTTTTCAATATTAAGTTCCTAACATTTCTATTTTTCTTTCTTAGGTCACACAAGAAAAGTAAGCATACGGGACTGCGTGTCCTTTGATATCACCACCAACGCTTGTCGTGGCTTCTGCGAAAGCTGGGCCACTCCATCCGACCCAAAAAACGCCCAAATAACCCAGCCCGTGACATCGGTGGGAACCTGTTGCAATATCATGGAAACGGAACCAATCGAAGTCAGAGTTTTATGCAAGGAAGGCATCCGCAGTTTCGTATTCAAAAGTGCAGTCAATTGCTCTTGTTATCATTGTAAAAAAGATTAATATGATGAAAATGTGGGCATTCGCAAGGGAACATTTATTCCGGTATTTATTTTATGGTTTTGTTTTGCGCAATTTTTTATATTTGTGACTTTTAAAGTTTATCGGCACCTTTATTTGTTATTTTCACTTTGAATAGGCATAACTTTATCAGAATTTTTAACATAATCTGAAAGTACATGACGCACATTCCATTTTCTATAGTGGAAATTATTATTAATCCAAAGATATGCGAATGCCCATGTTCTGAAAAAAATGTACTCCATAAATTTGTCAATTTGTGATTAGTTTAGTTATTGAGATATTTACCATTTAAGAAAATATATTGTAAATACATACATGAAAATATACTGACTGACTAAATTTTCCGATGTACTTAGAATAAATGTTTGTCCCCAATAAAGAATATAGTTTATTATTTTTTTAAAAATCTTCTTTGCTGAAGCTTACAGCAATTAAATACATTCTAATAAATAATATTGTACTGATTTTAAATAAATTATTTAGGTAATTCAAAAAAAGGAGATTTTGCCTAAAATTCTTATTAGACTCTTCAAAGGGCTAAAGAAATATGGTTGAATTTTGATGAAAGTTTTTTTAACGTATTCTTTGCTCCGAGACGGTTACAGAAGTTTCATAATATTTTTTACGTTACGGGGCTGTCGCCGTGGTGGAAACGCATAAAAGATCCCCAGCATACGTCTCGACGCCCGTAAGCTCTAATTTTTGGACAATTAGCAGATCCTTTAGTTTATTGTACCCACCCTGAAAAAATTAGAAAAATTAGGCGGTGAAAAGCTGAAAACGGATACACCGATTTCGAAAAAAAAAATGAAAGCTTTATCTTCAGTAGTTGCCTGCACGTTTTTGGTTGCTCTAAAAGTTGTTTAGTTTGGGTTAGGTAATACTTTGTATAAATTTTTCCGTTTCTTGATGAGCGTACAATATTTCTGGAAGGCTTCAGCTTAGAAATGGATCCATTGATTTTAAAAATTCATTTCAAATAGGGTAATTTTGGCAATTAAACTAGGGTCTGCGGAAAAGTAAACGTAAGTTTGCTACAAAGATATTGAGCATAGTATATACATTTGCTTTTTCATTAATTCTTCTCGTGTTGGTGGGAAATTAAAAATGTTCTAATAAAACGCAAGTGTTTTTATATCTTCCATCGCGACTCATCAATTTGCAAAAATCGCAAGAAGTTTTTACTAAGTTTATCTTCAATACCCGCCTATCTTTTTAGATGATGGAAAAATTGAAAACCCTAATAAAAAGTTTTACGGCATCTGAATATGCCTGGATTTACAAGCAAAGTGAGAATTGTTTATTTTTAATCACGAAAACCGACCATATTACATTAAAAATGTATGTTTATGTAGCCGAATTTCATCACAGACAGTGTTATTTTGAAAGTATGATAATACAATATATCTGATAAACTTAGTTAAGGTTCTCCTTCAAGTACTTACTGAGGGTTATTTTATATAGTCATATAATGTGATTAAAACTTCTGTATATTGCAACAAGGAGGGCGTTCTTTCGGAGGCGAACTGATTAAACCATAAAGTAACTTTGGTATTATTATATTAGGAATGCAAGATGATAACAAAAAATAATAAATATATTTTAAGTTGGATGAAATAAAAATAGTCGCTAATTCATCATTTTAAAGAAGGTAGACAGGTCATCATGTAGGCACAGTAGGATCTGACGTATGTCTACAAATATGATAATACAGGATTAAGTATATTTTTGTTGAGTTGTACTCAACGTTTCAGATGCAAATTGACGTTCTGAACCATCTGGAAAAAACATGTGAAATAGTTGCAGCTAGTATTATTTAGTGTAGTGTTGTAGGTAAGGATTTCTTGCTGGAAAACATGATATATACACATAATAATATATAACGGACATAATCTGCTCTTTATTAAAGAAAGATTTTTGACACAGCTGAGATAAAAGGTGGGTTTATAAAGACACATAACATAACATAAGATAAAAAGTTGACCTTATGGAAACCCCTTATGGCGTTTATACAGAAAATAACATAACATAAGAAATAAGAAAGTTGGTTAACTTTTAACTTTTATGTCTTATTTTATGTGAAAACGGATCTGCGCATGCTCAGCCCTTGATGTCGACATATGGCGGAGTAGTGAACAAAACATTCCAAATAAAACAAAATTATTTTGTATTGGTTTCAGATTTTGGTAATTTCTTGGATTCGGTTTTTTATTTTCGTGTTCCTGCTGAATTATTAATTAATAATTTTTTTCATCAAATATACTGTTTTCGGTAGAGTTTACATGAGTACAACTACCAGCTGATTGGTTAGAAATAATTCCTTATGTTATGTTATTTTCTGTATAAACGCTACAAAATTCTTATTTAATATATTATGTTATGTCTTATTTTATCTTATTTCTTATGTGCTGTATAAACCCACCTAAACAAATGGTACATTTTTGTGAGTAAATTTTTAAAAGGATATAAAGTTTGACTCAAGTTTCGAAGAAATGTTTACCATAATAATTTACAAGACCAATGGAAGCTTAAACCTTAGTTTGATTAGTAAAGGAGTTTTAGCGTTTTTGACTGCATCAATTTTCTTTCGAGATTTGGATATTCCGTTTCTATCAATTACATAACTATTATACCTACTCAATTTTGGATTCCATAAACTTACATTTTTCTAAATTAACTTAGATATTGTCACAAAATTGCCTCGGCAGCGCAGCTGGATTCTGAGAATGCAATTTTCGCGTAAACAATTCGGAGAATTCCAGAATTCTATTCAAGTAGGGCGCCAGGTTAGTAAAACCTGTACTCGAGTACACTGTTTGCTAAAAATAGCGCGATGTGGTACCTAGCTTAAAGTGAGTCAATTTTGATTCAATTAGTTTAATAAAAGTTGTTACTCTTTGTGAAGTGAGTGTTAGTGAACCCGGAATTCGTGAGAATATTATAATCGAACAAACGGTTTAAAACGGTTTCGAAAATTTGTAAATGTGTTTCATCATCACAAGCCGTAATTGTAATTTTAATATTGTCGGACCTGGGGGTTATGTGGGGGTGAGAATCAAACAAGAGCCAAGTACAAAATAGGGAAGTGTATTAAAATAAAGCTTACCACAAATACATGTCAGTTATGGACATGGGCGATAATAGTTATCACAGGACTAAAAGACACTATTACTACTAACTAACTAACGCGAATAATTCTCCGTTTGTAGACTTCCTTTTCATCTTCCAAAAACCATTATTTTATATTGATCGAGCGACCATAGCGCGTGATCGCTAATTACTATAATTACCAGTGAACTGTCGTTGACATTGACCTTCCATGGATTTCAGTTCCTTGTACGTACGAATTAATAATTCAATAATTCGTTCAACTTGCAACGGAATGTTATTTAAATGTAACGTGATCAATGATTTTCCTGAAGCCCATGGACCTCTTTTGGAAGACGATTGGGTTTAATTAACCGACGGGAGATGCCCTAATATCCTAGATACGACATATCCCCCGGGCTTAGAATGCCGTGCCCCAGCTTTACAAGAAAATAAAATCTTATTGTACAAATGTTTTACACGATAAGGTTGAACAAAAGTAATACAAAAAAAATATACGAGATGAAGTCGTCGCGTAGAACCGTAGGTGTCGGTTCTTCTTTCGAGTTCCCTAGGCGTTGGCTATTTAGAGAGTTGAACTTCTGATGGCATACATAGCCTTGCCAAACCTAGTTCCATTAAGTGGTGTCCATGCGTTGAATTCGGGGTTTTTTTTCTCGGGGGTTTTGCTGGAAAATCGATTATTGTGAGGTACTGTTGGTTCTGGAACCAGACTGGTCCTTGGTCATTTGGTCAACTTGCCAGCGATGTGCTAAAACAGCCCCTTTTTTTTTCTGTGAACATTTGTATTTGACTTTGTATTCCGAGCTCCTTGTAGTCCGGAAAGGTTGAGGTCTTTAGACCGCTCTACCCGTTAGGTGGACAATGACTTGGCTTATGCCAGTTAATCGGTAATTTCCGCAACGTCCAACTGTCAGCCCCTTTTCCAAAATTAATTTTCCACTGAAGGAATTGGTTCGCCTGCGGCTATGTTTTTATCAACCTCAGTTCTGCTCCGTCATAGTGCTCTAATTTTTTTCTTCCGGTAGATATCTCCTTTGGTATCGGTCTCGATCGTTTGATCTATCTCTGTGATATTTCCTATTCCTATTGTAGGATCTTCTTGGTTCGTATTCTTTTTTGTATCCATAACTTCTTTCAAAACTTTTAGAATTCCTGCCGTTGAGTTCATAATTTCTTCCGGAATTTTTTGTGCGCTCAGCCGTGCTTTTAAAATCGCTTGAATCACCGCCCTTTCGGCCGTCCAATGTTAGTAGTGTCGTTTGGTGGGTCATTTGTTGTATCAAAGTTCGTTCCTTTACCTCGCTTAATTTAAGGACCAACGTTCTCAACTTCGCATCGTTCCTGAACTCATGAGGTAGTAAGTTTCATAGAACGATGAGTGGAGACCATTCTCGAAATGGTCCCTAAAAGTTTCGAAGGGCATCTTAGGGTCTATCTCATAGGCTAGAGCGTATAATTCGAAGTAGAAGTGCTTGATATCCTCGTTTTCCTGTTGTCTTCTCGTATTCAATCTGAACTTTATTTTTTTTAGCGGTTGTTTCCCGCTAAACTCCTTCAAGAAGTCAGTTTTTATATTTTCCCATGTTCGGTTTTGATTTGCCTGGCTTGATCTATATGCTGAAAACCAGCTATTGGCAGCGCCCTCTAAGAAACACCCAAAAAAAGATATTTTGTATGAATCCCACACCTGGGGGTTATGTGGCAGTGAGAATCAAACAAGAGCCAAGTACATGTCAGTTATGGGCATGGGCGATAATAATTATCACAGGACTAAAAGACACTATTACTACTAACTAACTAACGCGGATAATTCTCCGTCTGTAGACTACCTCTTCATCTTCCAAAAACCATTATTTTATATTAATTAAGCGACCATGGCGCGTGATCGCTAATTATAATAATTACCAGTGAACTGTCGTTGACATTGACCTTCCATGGGTTTCGGTTCCTTGTATGTACAAATTAATAATTCAATAATTCGTTCAACTTGCAACGAAATGTTATTCAAATGTAACGTGATCAATGATTTTCCTGAAGCCCATGAATCACTTTTGGAAGACGATTGGGTTTAATTAACCGAAGGGAGATTCCCTATTATCCTAGATACAACAATATATTATATCATCCAGAAAAACTGACAATTTGGGAATATTTTTAAAAATAGTTTCAATTTCTGAAACTGAAGGAGTAGTTGTAATACCAAACAATATACGAGTAGATTTATATAAGCCGTTGTGTACATTTA